ACTAAAGATCATTACTTCAACCTTAAATTTTCGGAACTGGATTCCGACTCCGGTATCAAAAATTTAACTCCCCGGTCAAACTTCCAAATTTAAATTCTTGTTTTTAGTCATTTCAAGCCTAATTTAACTACGGACTTCCAAATAAAATTCCGAATACGCTCCTAAGTCAAAATCACCATACGGAACTGTTGGAATCGTCAAAATTCTATTCCGGGGTCGTTTTTTCAAAATGTTGACCGAAGTCAAACTTGGCCTTTTAAAGCCAACTTAAGGAACCAAGTGTTCCGATTTCAACTCAAACACTTCCAAATCCCGAACCAACCATCCCCGCAAGTCATAAATCATTAAAAGCACATACGAAAAATTTTATTTTAAGGAATGGGGTTCTAAAAGTTAAAATGACCGGTTGAGTCATTACAAGCATGAAGGCCCTTAGCGAAATGTTGTTCGCTTTTTTTACCCTTTAAAATTAAATTTCACACTAGACAAAATATTCATTTGGTTATTTCTCTAATATTGGTAATATAAATAATTATTTAATATTTTCCAAATATTTAGGATTTCGAGATCAATTAGATTTTGTGTATTAGATTCTTTCTTATTTAAATTATGTGACATAATAAATTTGCAGAAGAAAAATCAAAATAGTATGTAAAGTGTTTCAAAATAGCCGTTTACATAAACTCTGAATCACTTTTACGTCTTGGGGTATTTTTGTTTATCATACACTTCTATAATTAATTCTAATAAATTAGGTAATCTAGCTAAAAGTTTTGAGCAATTTCAGTTCCTTTTAGGCTTAGGAGTTGTTTGTTTTGTTATAAGTTATAAAAAAGTGAGAATTTGATTTAGGTGTAGGAATAGTTTTTCAAAGGAAATTAACCGATTAGTTCTTTACAAGAAAAATATTAATTCTTTATAATTTTGTGAGGTGAAAATTTATTAATTCTTTATAAATATTTCAGGTAAACTTTTCGTCCACTTTCACCTCTTTTAGGTTCAGGAAATTTTTATTTTATTGGTAAAAATCTCAAGCACTTTTACCTTCTTTTGGGTTTAGGATTATGTGTTTATGTACATATTCCTAATATTTAGGACTTTAAATTTATTGAAATTTTATCTCTTATAAATTATATATATACTGTATTAAAAGCACGAATACCCTTAGCGAAATGTCGTTCGCCTTTTTTTACCCTTTAAACATCAACCTCACATTAGACAAAATAGTTATTTTATTTTCCTAATATTTAGGATTTCGAAATCAACTAAATCTTGTATTAAATCTTTTCTTATTTTAACTATGTAACATAATAAAAAAATATACTCCAATATTAATAGTACACGAAAATCACACATTTTCCATAAACAATTCTTATTGATCGAGCACTTTCCCTTTCTTTTAGGTTTAGGAGTCCGTTTTTTCTTTCTCTTATTTTACATAATTATATGTAGTTATACAAAATATTAGAAAGAAATTTAAAGATAAACATTAACTACAACTACATGTCAAGAAAAGATTCAATACTGAAAAGTATTCAAATTAACATAGCTAATCCACTCCAAAAAAAACGCTGAATTTGAAGAGGTTTTATTTACATATTGCGGCGATCAGAAACCTCCGCAATATACTTTTACGGCAGTTTCCAAAACCCCCGCAATAATGTTCGCCGCAATCAATTTGCGGGGTTTTTTTTGACAGACCGCCGTTATCATATAGCGGCAGGTATTTGACGGTAGTATAACCTCCGCAATTTGGTAGTTTGGCTATCACTTATTAAAAAAAATAGCGGAGGTCTAAACCTCCGTAATTTATTTATTTAACCCCCACAAATTTTATAACACAATATTATTATAGGTTAAATAGTGGCAGTTATAACCTCCGCTATTCATTGAATTTTTTTTTCTGCAATGTTACTCCATAACTGTTCCAATTTCAATTATATTAATATAATGAGGCATCAACAAATTATATAAATTGCTTACTGGAATCAAATAACATCAATATATTAATAAACCACAAAATACATTAAAGTAAATTATCATTAGTCTCAAAAATTTACTTTAAACACAACTACTTCAACCATTAAACACAAAACATCAATATTATAAGTCTTAAAACTAACTTTAAAGAGAACATCCACTCCAACCATTATGGACAAAAGATCAACTATGATCATTCAATCGAGTACGATACTTAATTATCTAATATATTTGCAAGCAACTTCAATAGTTGTCGTTAGGATTACTTCCACCGGATGATCTTCTTATATCCATGGGTAAAATGGATCCGCTAGCCGCATCACTTGGCTATAAAACAATCAAAATAAAATATAATTAACAAAAAGTATCTCAACAATATCCTAACTAATAATCACTTAGTTTCATTCAAGTATCAGTAATCAGTAATTACTTAGCACTGTAATGCACTGCCAGTGAAGTGTGAGCACCTAAATTTTTATCGTGCTTGAATATTTTCCGCTCTCATCTTCCCACGCGTGTCTCCACTCTTTGTCCCCTACACTTTGTCCCCATTCCACATTCTCTTGTCCCTCATGCTTGTCCCCCTACACTTTGTCCTCTCTCCACTTTTCCTTGTCCCCATGCTTATCCCTGCTCACAAACTCTATACGACTCTCCCTGCCCATTAAAAACAACCCCCAATTCCTTTCTCCTGGGAGAGAACGGACAGAAAATCCCTGCCTCCTGAACAAAAACATAGCTCCATCTCCCTACTGCCTCCTTCAACCAACCAACAACCACCCCAAAAGAATTTCCAAAACTCAGCAAAATTCCAGCACAAAAAAACACCTCAAACCCAGCTGAAAACAGCTCCAAAAATACCAACAAAAAAAAAAAAAATCAGCACAAAACCACCCCGAAACAGCCACTCTTTCTATGTCAAAACAGAGGCTATCGGCGAATTCGGGCTCATTGTTTGAAGTCGTCGTTCGAGTCACTTGAGGTTCGAAGCTTTCCGGGCAGTTGAGGTCTATTTGTAGTCACGTTTGACTACTCGTTCGTTGCTATTTAGTCGAGTTTGTGAGGTTGCCGAATCGAGTTTTTCCGGTTTTGGGTTCGTCAAATTCCAAAGAATTATTGTTATACAAGTTACTTTGAAGGATCTATAATCCGAAAGAGAATATTTTGCTACAATAAAAGGTCCATTTCTCTCATTTTGTTCTTTGATTCATTATGTCAATCTCTTTTTAACATTTGATATGATAGAGTTTTAGTGTTTTTTTTTCCGTGCTATCTTACAAAAAATGAATGTGTCCATCGTATTTGCTAAATGATAGCGTTGGATGTTAAATTATCTATGTTAAAACTTAGTTTCATGTTAGTCTTTTCTGATGTATGTTTGTATCAATGTTATCATGATTTAGTATGCTATAATTTAGACAATATTTTAATGTAATTTGATAAATGAATTGATGAAACAATAGATTTTGGTTAAATTGGAGCGAATTTAGTTTGCTGGTTTGGATTTTCAGTTGATTTGTGGATTTGGGCTAATATGGTCATAGGATATTGATTTAAAGTGACTCCACTTGAATTGATTGGGCTTAAATAATTTCAAATTGCCAAGCCCAACACAAAATAGACCAGTAAATGAGCTAGCTACATCTTTCTTAACTAATTAATTTTGTTTCCTCCATAAATAAACTCCATAACTGTTAGACCTTCACATTTTATCCCAAACTTAGGAAATTAATTAACTTATGAATACGATAACATGCTTTAGGTGCACTCTTAATTAATCAAATTATCGTGATTATGTACACGTTCGCGTGACATAATTTTAATTTTCAAAATTAAAATCGAAGTATGTGTTCGCGCAACTTTGGTCAAAATATTCTTAATATAATAAAATTCTATTAATTGTGTACACGTACGCGTAATATAATTTTAGCACAATAAACAATACGAATTCACACCCGTGATTCGTTTCAAAAAATAATTTCATATTTTAATAATTAAAAACGGGTAGGTAAAATATGGGAATCGATAAATCGCAGTTTTATCCAAAAATTAATTTAAGCTAAGTTAGTCAATAAAAGCCACTGTGCTAGAACCACAGATTCGGGTAATGCCTTACACTTTCTCCCCGGTTAACAGAATTCCTTACCCGAACTTTATTTTCGCAGACCAATAATAATAGAGTCNAGATACAGATAACAGAAAGATGCCTGTTTTTAGCATCAAGCTTGTAATTCGTTATTCCTTATGTTTGAATTGCCTATTATATGCCTTGTCAATTAGACCACAAGCCGCAACCACAAAAGCAGAGCATACGCTCATAGAATCATTCAATCGATTGGCACCAGTAAGATTTAACACAATTTTCAATTAAACATCAGGCTGCAGATGCTTCAAGAACAATCCTTCCATACTTGTCAAAAGAGAAGAAGCAGAAAGCTAAATGAAAGAAAATCTACCTTATCAACAATAAAGATTTCTTCACCATTGACATCCACTTCAAGATAACAAGAAACATCCATTAAAGCCAAATAAAAATAACTTCTTATTCTTAAATAAGCATGAGAACAAATGGAAAAAATTCAGTTCTTGGTATTACAAAAAAGTGCTTTGTCAATTGGTTCAAAAGCAGAACTAAAAATAAATATGTAGAGTGAAAATTTTCGTCCATTTGCTGTATAATCTGATCTGTGTCTATTCTATATTTCCAATGTGAAAGAATGACAATTTTATTCTTAAGTTTTTTCATTTCTGAGAATACATTTCCTGTTTATATCACAAACTGTTATTATGTACTTGAATGGAAAATTCCATACAAGTTGGGAGAGGGTATTGTAACTCTTCTGAGTTCTCCTTACCTAAAAAAGAAGGACAATATTGAAACGAAAATGGTGAAATGATGCGAATTCAAATCAAGTTTTACATGATACAGAAGTGAGAAATTAGTTAACAGTAACTTTGCCAACCATTCCAGCTCCCTGGTGAGGTGCACAGTAGAAACTGTAAGTTCCTTTCTCACTCAAAGTGATAGAGTAAGTCTCCCCTGGTCCATTCAGATATTCCTCTTCAGGCATGGAAATCTTACTTACATCAACACCAGCTAGGATTTCATCTTCATCAAATACAACATTGTGAGGGAAACCGGTATTAGAAAGACTAACCCCTATGATTAACATTTTGTTCAGATATTGCCTATTCTAAAGGTCTGTTACCAAATACAGGAAAAAGATTATCTCACATCCTTCCATTAGAAAGATAATGCAAAATGCTAGATTCAGCCAGACACATTCTACTTGCACCACATTACACATTTCTGCTAAGTTGCTAATAACTTGTAATTATCAATGATGCCATAATATAGCCCAAAAAATGGCAATGCTCTCCACAGTAAACATCCAAATTTCCAAAAAGCCAACAAAAAATATCTTAACAATGTTGTGAAGCATAATTCAGGGGAGTGTCAAACTCCAGGCAATTCCAGGATAAAAAAGAACTAAAACCCGCAATTTACATATATTTTCCAAATAAACCCGCAATTTACATACATTTGTTAGTATTTTCTGTGGAAGAATTTCTTCCACGGAAGAGAAGGCATGAAGATGAAGTCAAATTGCCAAAGAAACATACTGTAGGAAACTGCAAATGTGATATATGTTAATAATGTTATGAACGATCACAACTAAAATAATTACAATACATACGTAATTACTTGTTAACCAAATCCTATAAACTGATAATATCAGTCTAATATATTCCTCATCACTTGACAAATAAAATAGAAAATATGTTATTGATTCATTAGCCTTTTGAAAGAAAGCAGAATTGATGTTCATGCAACCTAATCTATTTTCTGCGCATTTTGTATTACAAACCTAGAAAGAAAGAAAATAATATTCAACACTACGAAGAAAACTAAAAATCTGTTTGTACCATGAGATTGATTCAAACACCATGTAGAGCAGAAAGAGGAATAGTAGCTAGTGACAATTGCGTCTTCTCTGAAGGTCCTCAAGAGTTCTAAAACACACATGCAAGAGGAAATATTTCAATTAAGTAGACCCAAAATAGCAGAAATTAACTTACAAAAATACCGAAAAAGCTAAATTTTACAACCTAAAATACCTAATGCAGAAGGAGAAAGAAGACTTACATCTCTAATTTAAAAGAGAGTGTTCTATCCTTCTTCAAAATACACCGATTCAACAAAAAAATTTGTTACTCTCAGTAGAAAATCGAAAACTGAAAAGCCACAAATTAGAGGAAAAATCAGTTAAGGTAAAACACAAATTAACGGAGGAAATAAACCTAAAACCCACATGCAAGAAGAAAGAAACACAGAAAAGCAAAATCAAAGAATGGGGAAGAGGAATTACTATAGATCTGAACCCACAATCAAACTCAGCGTTGTAAATCTCTTTCATAGAATGGGGAAGAAAGCAAAAATTTACATTAGTGACGGTCCAAGCGTGAACCCAAGTTGGGAAAGCTATTCCTCAACTTTGAAAGCTAAAAAGCCCTACGGTCCAAATGGAAGTGAGGGAGGGATTTGGGAAAAAAAGAGGGAAAAATTGGGGTTAGTGCGCTTTTTTTTTCTTTTTTTTTTTTTTTTTTTTTTTTAAGGTTGGCAGAGGTTATTGATCGCCCCAAATATAATATATTTGTGAGGGTTGTATAAACCCCGCAAGTTAATATAAATTGCGGAAGTTATAATAACTACCGCAATTCAACCTCCGCAAACTCACTGTTTTTTTGTAGTGATCAACTTTTTACTTTTTGTAACCGCACTTATGTTGGATTTGTAATAACAATTAATCTTTAAAATTTTATTATTTTCTTTATTTATTTTTTAACTTTATTATGTGATGCGAATTTTGGTATTTATTATAAATACACCACTTTGACTTTTCTAGATCTTTGCACCTAAATAAAAAAAATCATATTCTAATATTTAGGACTAAACTTATATTTTAGAATTTAAGTTTAACTACAAATCCTTCAAAACTGCGTATGAAGGAAACTGTCTATTTTATGTAAGGATATTTCAAAAACTTTGCTACTTATCAAACAGAAAAAGAAAAAAAAAAGGAAACTTTGAACAATTTCCTCTTCTTTCCCACAATCAAACGGTAGAATATAAGTCCTTATAGGCTTCTAATTTAAAAGCCTAAACGGACTTGTATTCTACCGTTTGATTGTAGGAATGAAAAGAAAAATGTTACATAAGGTTCCTTTATTAAGCATTCATCGTTTTAGAAACTTATAATTTTAAAAATTTATTTTACATTCGAACATATTTTAAATAATATGTATGTTAAATTTTTAAATATTCAATCATAAGAGAACACACACAACGCGCATAATCTATATCTATACTATATTAAAAGCATGAAGGTCCTTAGTGAAATATTGTTCGTCTTTTTTACCCTTTAAAAATAGATTTTATACTAGATAAAACAATCATTTAATTATTTTTCTAATATTTAGGAGTTAATAATCAACTAAATTTTTTTTAAAAAAAATTCTTATTTAAACTACATAGAAGTTCCTAATATTTGGGACTTCAAATTCAATTAAAATTTACTTTACTTCAATTCTTTCCTTAAACCAACATTATATCCTTGCGGACTTTAAGCATGCTTTTGAAGTTTAATGTGTATCCTTAGCCTCTGATGTATATAATTCTTAGTAACTTTTTCTTTTACAAATACTTTCAATAATTGATTACCTAAAAGACATCACCAATGCATGTTATTTTTTTCCTTTTATTTTTAAAGAGTTTTGATTTAACTTTAGGTATAAATTTCTAGAAGTTAGAATTATTGTTAATGTTAATTTTAAAAATAAATTAATCTATATCCATACTATGTAAAATTATAACTATAAATGATATTTAAACTTTAAATAAATTAATATACTTGGAACTTTGAAATAACTAAAAATTTGAAAAATTGTCTTAGCGAACATGATTTTAAAATTGCAAAATTACCAATGGCAGAGATTATTCAGAATGAGTTTAACGTAATGTTAGCTTTTATTTGGTCTTCGATGAATATGTATAGAAGGAATTTAGACTTAGACCAATAAGAATCTGGTCAATATTTTTACATAAGAAGAGGTTCACTTATTGTATATATAATTTTGATGACCTTTAAATGAACAAATAAGAGTTTTATGTATTTAAGTTATAAAGAACAAATTTCACATGCTAAAAACATACATATAAATATTTAAATTAAAAAAATTAATGTTAGACTAAACCCAAGAAAGGAAAAAAAGAAAAGAGCAGAACATTTTTTTAGACTTTTAATATCTTTTGTTATAAAGTAACTTAACCTCATTTATTTACATAAAATATTTATATTAGAATCTTGATAAATTAAAATTAGATTTTATTTTTGTATTGTCCAATAAAATAGAAAACTAATTTATTCCTTACACGATGATTATCATAAAGTTTTTATACTTTATTTATACCAACTGAAAACGGTGTGCTTAATTATTTGCATTGAAAATACCTGTTTGTCCCAAATTAATAATTAATTAGGTAATAATTAATTTATTATTTTATTTTATTTTATTTTATTATGATATTATGAATATAACATTAATAAAAGAGATGTTGCGTGTGATATAACAACATAACATATATCTATATAATAATTAATAAATCCCAAAACTCCAAATACTATATAACTAATTCAACTAAATTCATCATCTTTATATATTTTGAAAATATTGAATTCAATTATTGTATTAATGCAATAACATTTATTGTAAGCATTTGAACAAATATCGCATTTATTTTAACATCAATTGTTATTTTTCAATAATTTATTCTTTTTTACACGTTTTATAATAATTGACGCGATGTACACGTGCAACGCACGTACACTAAAACTAGTAGACATAAATATGTTTAATTTTGAGTCAAATATAATAAATGGGATCACCCTTGCTAGAAAATTGGATTCGTCACTGTATAGGTCACCGACCAAATATTTGGTGGATAAAGGGCTAATATTATTTATTACGTACTTTTTAGTTGTATTTAAGTAGTAACTTTTTTCCACTAAAACATGAATATAATTGCTTCTCTTTTCAAATCCAGATAAAAAAAAATTCCTTTTAGATCTGACCAAGAAAACATGTTTGATTGTCTATTATAAGTTATATATACGGGAACTTGAAATTTCGATTTGATTTTTTTTTTTAATATCGATATTTTTGACAAACTTACGCGCACTTTTTGACCAATTTATCGGTATTCTATACCGCTCAAAAACGACTCTTGTCTATAAGCTCGATATTGACTCGAGCTCGATATCGACTCGAGCTCTCGATCTTGACTCGAGTTCGATTCTGATTCGGAGCCTTGTATTGATTTGGGATCAGTGTTGGTCGGTCTCTGCCTCATAAGCTCGATAACTTCACTTCGCATCATAGTTTGATTTGGATTCGAGCTCGATAAGATATCGAGCTCGACATTGATCGGTCCCTAGGGCTCGAAGCTTGATGACCTGACTTCGAACCTCAACCTGATATTATGAAGACTCTCTTCGATCCAATGCATTACCATTTCGACCAGTTCGTAATAAGGTTGAAAACGGTTTTGACAGTATACAAGATGATTTCACAATTCACATGCAAGTTGTTACTTCTGTGTCGCACCAGGCCACCAGGTTATTTCCGTTAGGGCTTTTACTTGATTTATGTAGTAAAGCTTTTCTGATTAATTGTTTTCTGATATATGAGAAAAGGGTAAAAAATGAAAAAGGTAAACCATTTTTCTCTTAGTCTCTTTTTAACGTCATTATCACTGTATAAAACATTATTTATCTAACTAAATTACTAGTAGTTCTAACTTCTACTGTTCCTTTCGATTGTTCGTCATAAAACAAACTCTATTGTTAAAATCGACTAATTAGCCGGGGCGGCCCTTCCCTGCTTTAGGTACGAAAAAAATTAAATGTACGAATATTTATAAAAATAATAAATAAAATAATATTAAGTTATTTTAATTATACGTAAAATATTTGGGCAAAAGTATATTATATAGAAGGTATTACATAAATGAGAGGATTTATAACATAATAGATTTTTCAGGTGAAATGTTTGTAAAATCTGGTCAAAGTGATTACTGTGATAACTAGAGCATAATAAAATAATTTTTGTGTAACAAAAGAAAGAAAAATGACTTTTGGATAATGAACATAAAGTTGAATGACTTTTACGTAACCAAAGAAAGAAAAATAATTTTGGATAATGAACATAAAGTTGAGTGATCACCCACGTCGAATTTGAACCTAGCTACAACCTTTTAATGCCACTTTTACTACTACATTAGAAGCGTTTGTATGTCAACTGAATTCAAACAATTTATGTAATACAAAAATTTCTTAGGACAGCAAGTTAGGGCTTGCATGCCTGCCGGACTACGCCATAAGCCAAGGCATGTAGTGGGATTTATATAGTTGGTTTGAGTTTTGTTCAAAACTCAAACCAACTATAATGGAACAAAGAAAGGGAGTACTCCTAAAATGGCGCCTTATATTTCTGCAAAGCGCAAGAGTACTCAAATTACAAATCTTACTAGAACGCCTCTAAATAAAGGGCAAATTGTCAATTTTAAAAGAAGTTATTCATGTCAAACCTCTTTCAGATGTCAAATGAGCTTTGCAATGTAAATATTTTTCTTTTAACTCATCTTATTATACATTATGGAGTAATTTCTAGAATAGGTGAGATGTTGTTCTGCGAATTCTTGGGGACCAAAGAGCCACTGGGCAGAGCTACATGGTTTAAATATACCGTACAATAAATAAAAACAAAAGGAGAAGAGAAAGTAAACAATATGAGAGAAGATAGCGAGGTAAAAGAAAATTGTATATCTCTTACACTTTTCTTCCTTAAATCAAACAAGGGAAGGAAGGTTTGGCACTCTTTTTTACCGTTCTCTTCGCATCCTTAGTATCGAACAGATTAGGAGGGTATGGGATCTAGGTTAATTTAAAACAAATCCAACGTCAATGTATAAATCAAGAACACCATAAACTAGTGTGAAAATGCTCCAACGGAGGTTGAATAGGTCGTCTTCTGCTCATTTTTATCTCGATCCATCATTATATGACTCTATCAATGAGGTGATTTCTAAAGTTCACGAGGAATGGAGAGAGAACCCAGCCGTATGTATATAGAAAATTAAATATTACTCTATTCTTTCTAATTTATGTGAACCTATTTGACCGGACACATAATTTAAGAAAAAATAAATTTTTTTTGAATTTGTGATCCTAAACAAATTAAAAAGAGGCTCAAAGTATTTATATGGTTATAAAAATTTCTCATTAAGAATACTAGTATTAGAAGTTTAAGCTAAATTATTTTTAAATTTATAAAATAATTATTTTTTTTGAAACGGACAAAAAAATAGATTCATAAATTTGAACAGAGGTAGTACGACTTAATTGATTCTGCAATCACGGACTCATAGGTTCAGAACAAGACTTACACAATGCCAAGCTCACATTTTAACTAATTTAGAAGCCGCACTTATGGTGTACGAACATTGGGACGAACACTGGGATT